GACTCGAACCCGCTTGGGCGGTTCGGCGGGATCTGACCTGTCTTGTGAAACAATCCCGTGTTGTTTGCTTCTGTGGCCTGCCGCCTTCGTTCTGCTGGTCCAGGTTTAAAAAAAAGCAATTATCCGTAAATCGGCGGTGACGTGTTGATCGAACCCACCCCCTGAGTCCCTTACTTACTGGAGTGATAATTCCATGCCATCTCATCATCCCAGGCTCACAGTATCTTGAGTATTTGCCAACGCACCTTTCTTTTACCTGGGCTTCACCGCAGATTGCCAAACCCATCCATATCTCCAGTCATCAAAGAGCAAGGGGCAGAGGGGGTGGTTATTGCCGGAGCACATAACTCATGTCATGATTACGTTGGTGGCCCCTGATGTGATTTGCCAGGTAAACCAAGACACTGATATAAGAAGGACCTGCCCGGCCACTACCAGCTGTCGTTTCTGGCCATCGATTCATTGGGGTTCTACAACACTGTTTGACGTTACCCTCAAGTATATCTGAGTTCAAGGTTACCTTGGGTTCCATCTTCATCACCAGCTTTACAACCCAAAGTAACATACCTGCCTACCTACCAGTGGTCACCATGACGTCCCCCCAGGATCCACACACCAAACTCTACTCGCACATTAACGGTCAGACCTCAGATCTTCTCGACCGGTACGCCATCTCGGAGCTGTGCAAAGGCTGGCCGGTATATCGTGATGCCTCAGAATGGCAAAACTACCGCGATCTCTTCACATCAGAGGGCGCCTACGTCTGGACCAGTCTGTCCCCCCTCCCGGCTTTACCCTCTTCGCTGCCCATGTACTGATAATAATGACACAGCTTGGTCCGGCCCACGCACGGTAGACGAGTTCATCTCCATCTCCAAAGCCGGCAAAGAAAAGAGCGTCTTCATCATGCATCGTGAGTGCGGGACCCTCGTTGAGCTTGGTAAAGATAGAACCCGGGCGATAGGCAAGATGAAGGCCACCATCACCCACCGCTTCAAGTTCTCTCCTCCATTGACTAATGGAACTCGCACCACGACCAACGGCACCAATGGCACTCATCAGCATGATGCTGCGCAAACTGAGGAAGAGTACGAGTTTGACGTTGACTGTGACTGCCGCTTCATCTTCTTTGCCGAGAAGAACGCGTCGACCAACAACGAGTGGAAGACGCGGTATGTGAAGCTCTTCTATGAAAAGGACAAAGTCGTACCGGTGGACGGGTTCACGGCGCCGAGGTTCAGCAAGGCGGAGCTTGAGAAGATCCCACGGGGGTATAAGTATTTGGGGGCTGCACAGGCGAGGCTGGGGTACGAGATCGACTTGGACTTGCCCACCGCGTCAGGGGAGCTCTGGGACCGCATGTACGGCGAGATGGAAAAGTGGTTGGATGGGGAGAAAGTTGACTTATTTTGGGAAGGGAAGTAGTGAGCACTTGTCTGCTGGGAGTTGCTGGGAGGATCTGGGCTGGTGAATTGCATGATACCCGTCAGGTTCAAGGGAAGCTCTTCCGTTCCCATTGTTTTTCTTCTTTTTGGTGCATCTTTGGGTGGAAACTGGCACAGCATTAGATTATTTTCATGATAGATAGGTGGCAATAGACGTTGCACTTCCGAACATGGGATTTATTTTGTTTTCTCCCTGCTACCCATCTATGCCGTCGAATCTCTGTTGACCCCTGAACCAACCCGTTACACCGTCGGGGGTGCACAAAACATGGGTGGCAAGTGACGGCTGCCACCTCCCCGGAGGTAACACGGTTCCTGGCAGCGAAATGCTGTCAATGAAGGCGGGTGTAAAAAGGCCCACAACCCGTCAGAATGGCGCCATGTTATGACTCCCAGCTTCGGGTAGCACGGCGACCTCTCTGTGACGTGAGCCGCTCGTCCGCGAGACCATACGATCCCCTTTCTGCGCGCAGAGGTATCTCTGGGGCATTGGCCGATGTTCGGGTTTTGGCAGGTTGTTGAAGGCCAGGGAGCACACGGCCACTGCCTGCCGGAGCATGCATGCGGATCTACCAGTGTTTCGGAGGGTAATTCTGACAGAGTGCAGAGACAGCAATGAGCACCAGGTCATGTGAGACTTCTTCTGGGACGTCGGTGTGTGTAGATAGTTATGTAGGTATTCTTGTGTGTCGAGTACTACAAGGGGTATCTCCACTGCCCACCATCCTCTCCAGCCCTTTACTCGGCGGCAGCAGCAGCATCAGCTTTCTCCTTGGCAAGTTTCCCCATCTTCTCAACAGCCAGATTCAAGCTTGGTAGGTTGGCGCCCTGAATCATGACTTGGCCGTTGACAGCCACTTGGTTTCCCTCCTTGAAAAAGAGAAACGTAGGCATGGCGGCGACATTGTATTTCTGGGCGACGGTTTGTACGTGATCGACGTTGACTTTGGCAAAGGCCAGAAAACCGGGGATCGAGAAGGTAGAGGCCATCTTGGTGTAGTGGGGAGCGATGGCTTTGCAGGGACCGCACCAGTCGGCGTGGAAGTCGGCGATCACGTAGCGCGTCGACGCGAGGAGATCGTCGAACTCTTGGTGCGAGGCAATGTGCTTGACTGGGTCGGCCATTTCAATTTAGGAATCGGCAGTGGGCGTCTCGAGAATGGTGTACGAACGGCAACAGAGGGGAGCTGGATGAGGGTCACAATCGCGGGGCACAAAGAGAACAGCTTCTGCCTGGTGGGGCGGAGAGCTCCAACTCAGCCTCCCCTTCTCCCTGCGCTAACTAACCCTAACCCCATTTACACGCTATGGAAACCATAGGCCCCAAAAATGGTCGACAGGTATTAAAAGATAGCGAATATGCCTTAAATAATAGTTAATAGGCCTTTAAAGATATTCAATAGACCTTTAGGATAGTTTAGAGGCATATTTACTATTTTTCAACACCTTCCGATTATCTTTCAGTCTCTATTTTTGTCCATAACGTGCTGCAGTACACACCCTCACGGCTTCCACAAACTCATGGGCCGTCAGTGGGCCTTGATGTTCGGGATATCCATGGCATGAAAAGATACCCTGAATTACCGCCCATCAAGTCTAATATCAAATTCGCATATCACTGGTCCCTGGCTTCAAGTTGAAGATCAGCTACCGATGTGGGGAAGCGATGATGTCATACACCTCTGTGGCTGCTATCAACGACCAACATAGGTTGTGGGGATTTAATATTATGTCCTTCCATGAACATGAAATTCTCCTTTTGGAAAAAATATTATCATGGAAACCAGAAAATCGATGCTTTGTTGATCTGTTTACCCTTCTCACTCAGCACTGAGATGCAGCGGCGCAACCGACAGCAAACGCGCTCTGAAGGCCGTCGCTCTCTGGAAAATACGGAGGAGCACAGCCATTCCAACCAACTCGTCCAGTATCCAGCATCACAGCATGAGGAACAGTTTGCTGTCCAGCCGCAAAAATCAAGGGGCGCTCCAGCAGTCAAACTCGACATGGACCTTGACGTGGATCTGGAACCGAAGGGCAAGATCAAAGAGGACGTGACGTTCGCCATCCTGTAAGTCCGGCATGTGATGAGCCCCGGTTGAAGATTGCTCAACCTAAACATACGACTGACACAGTAACATAGAGAGGATAAGAAGGAACAAGAGAAGAAATAAGACTAAAAAGATCAGTTGCCAATCCAAAAGTGTGGTTGCCTGATGACCTCTTGAAGGTTGGTTTGGTCACCAGGTCATGTGAGGTGGTTGACTGCCAGCGCCAAAATCACCGTCACGCAGCCCACACCACGCGCGCCATGGCTATGACAACTTGAGAGAGTCAAGTGCACCATGCACTAAAAATGGTATCCTTCGTTGTTTCACTTATCTTGAAGGCAAAAACCAACAACTCTACCAACATCCGTCATGTCTCGAACCTCGCTCCAATCGTCCCACCACAATGTCATCGCAGCACAGCCGCCATACCCGGAAATCATCATTCAAGCGTCCGAATGATGGAATCAAGCCAGTGGAAGTTCTTTCACAGGTCGGCCGGGTCGCTCTGCCATTCATTCTCACCAAACTTGCACAGCAACAAGAAAAGAAGCAACGCCAACAAGAGAGGGAAAGAGACAGTATCCGAAAACCCTCGAGTTCCCGCAGTAAAAGCAGCCGTGAAAGCGGCACACCGGCGCCATCCACCACTGGACGGTCTACAAGATCCCACGACAGAGACAAAGACAGGGCCCGGGACAGTGAAGGGCCAGACGACGACACCCCTCGAGATGACAGTGATTTACACGGCGTCATCAGTCAAGTGGCCGTCGGTTTGGTTGCCTTTGGAGCAAGAAAACTGATACAGCGACGAAAAGAAGCGAAACGGGCTGCTGCCTCTGCCGCACAAACAGCCCGAGCAAGCCACCGCGGTGCTGGCGGCAACATGAGCCCGGCCGACGCAGAACTTTCAAGAGCATTGGAGGCTACGGCAGTTGAGCTTCAGGGGGCCAGTGAGTCAATACGGAGGCTGGCAAACTCGGGATCAAAAAACCATCACAGGAAATGTGAGGTGAGGGACGAGCTTGTCAAAGATGCTGAGAGGCTGGAGGGTTCACTGGCCAGCATACAAACGGGCATTCACAATATGCGGAACCTGCACCCACGCTTGCGCATACCGGATGAAAGCGGGAAACGCAATGCCCAAAGGGGGAAGAGAGGCATGGAACCAATACAGGAGGGCGAAAGGAGCGGACGCCGGGACCGTTTGAGGGAGAGGTATAGAGACCCTCTAGGCATCCGAAGGGGACATGAGGAGGATGATTTGGCTTTTGGCGGAAGTCGACGCCGATCATAAAGAGCATCAAATATGGTTCCGGCACTTGCACAAGCCCATATCATCCCGACGTCCCGACCAGGTCCACATGCCGCGGACAGATAATCTCCACAACCCGAAGCCCCTGAATCCACTCCAGGGCCACAGCCCTGGGGCCTTGCACTCCACCACAGCTCACAGCCATCATAGCAGCCAAATCCTGATCTGAGACCTCAATAACTCAAGAGGAAAGCCCGCATGGCTCAGTGGTAGAGCGTGTCACTAGTATTCTTGCTATGACAAGGTCGTCAGTTCAATTCTGGCTGTGGGCAATCGAGTATGTGATAAGGAAATAGAATAGAATTTTCATCTGCATTTTTTCCTTCTCGATTAAATCGGCTTCTTCTATGCCGCTTTGATTTATATCACTCGGTAGACGCAGAAAGATGTATGCGTTGTTTTACATACATAAATAATCACTACACACTCATCATACATCCGTTTTGTTCCATTACTTCTCAACATGCTATTATCCGGGCGGCGGCGGAGGAGGCGGAGGAGGTGGAGGAGCACCTTCCCCCGATGACGCCGAAAACGACATGTGGCTCCCCTTGCTCCCGTACCTGCTCCCTCTCCTTCGACTCCGGCCCCGCCTCCTTACTTGTATCGATCTGCCGTACCGATGGCAAAAGTAGAAACAGCCCACCAAAAAAGCCGCGACGAGGACACCAACGACGACACCGATGGTGATGTTTTGTTCTTGCATCGAGTAGCGTTTCGCCAGCTTGCTCGTCCACGCTGAGGAAACCGGGTCATCGGCCCGTGAAACCGGTAATCTAAATGGGAGGTGCAGCCATGAGGGGAATATCGTCGGTGATGCAAGGGAGGGGGACGATGAGGCGAGCGACAAGGGTGCTTGCGGAGACAGGAGGGGTGGTATGAACATGGTGATGCGTTTTGTTCAGACTTGAAGGGTCAGGAGGATAGGCTGGGTTCCGCTTTAACTGACTGGATTTTGAAAGCGATGCTTCCAAGATCTGTGTATGGAAACTGAGTATCATGCGTAAGCTCAATGGTGAGAGGACGTTCCAGACCGGACACGGAAACAGAAGTCTCGAATGAGGCTTTTTCGGAGACCGACGCTAGTAACAGAGGCCGTTTCATACACAGTTGGGGGGAGCGTATGCAAAAAGAAAAGAATTTACGACCAGCACTCAGGGCGAGGCAGGAAACATTTTAACCCCTCCCCCCTCGCCAGTGTAGAATACACGGCACGGCGGGAGAGATAACGTCCATCGCGGATGCCGATGCAAAATCTCTGATTGACCAATATCCTTTCATTTTCTCGTGGCACATAGGCATGGAAGTAGCAGAAGCAGGGCTGCAGACGAACGCGAAAAGTGCGGCCTGCGTGGGATTCATGGCTCGAGAATCGAAGTTGGAGGAGCAAAATGGGGAGACAAAGTGACCCAAGTTCGCAGATGGAACCTGCAGCTAGTTTAGCCAACAACTGATTTACCCAATCAGAAGCAACGTGGAATGACAGACTGCATGATTGTGCATGTCGCGACCCAATGATGGCAGAATGGTGTTCAACTTGCAGGGCTGACGACGGCCTATTATCAACCGCAACTGGGGCGAGATGCCCGACCTGATGAATGGCACACCAGTCAGATGGACAGGAAGTGCAGTATCATATGCGATTTCCCCAGCGGAAGCTCAAGGGAACCTCACCTGACCTGCAGCTGCTGTCACTTTGCTATTACCATGCGACTGGCCGGGTGTAGTCGCTGACACGCTCCCCTTATTGAAGGCGCTAGGTTGTAAAGGTTTGTGTAGATGGGATGGGCGCGTCGTGGATAAAAAATGGACTGCTACATACTCATGGTAGAGACTGTAAAAGATAGTCAGTTGGTACTAAAAGATAGTGAATAGGCCTTAAATTATAGTCGAAGCCATTAAATCATAGTCAATAGGCCTTTGAAGATAGTCGAGAGGCTTGTTTACCATCCGTCATGGACTTTATCTGTGTAGTAGTCTTTATTTTTTTGCCCGCGACATGATGGGGTAGATTTAAGAGTACAAAGTTGTATTCGAACACTTCAGACACTCCACCTGAGTTGGAGGGTAGCATACCTATGGAGAGAGAACGGGCAACCTGTACGATACCACGGGCTGAAACGAGAAAAAGGGGTAAAAGGGATAACAGGGCAATAACCAGTATCCAGTGTCAAATTGGGCAAGCATTGGTGCCTGGGGAGCAAGTTAGTTTAGGTAATGTGATTTTCAACCAGCCATAAGTCCACATGCGGCTCTATTAGTATGTTTACAGTTATATCCCAATGTACTTTTGTCTCCCTCCTGAGGGCTGCCCGCGTTTATGGCATACAAGTGAAAAACCCCCCCAACTTGTTCAGGACAACCGCTTGCTTTTCCTTTGGCGCAGTTGTCTTATCATTGGCATCGCCCACGCTCACCGACACAAAGCAGCCGTCACCAGAAAGGGCCACACCTGCCTCCAGAGGCAACCGATCCGATCCGCAGTGGTACACGTCTTTGTCGCTGAACAAGCCAACATTGATCCGGCTGAGCACAAACTTGAAGTTGTTGGGATCGGTGCACTTCCCTTCCACCTTGGGCAAGTTGACGTTGAGGAAAACATCTTCGGGGAGGTATGGCTTGCCACTGTTGACCACGGCATCGACGAGTTTGTTGGCTACCTGCGCGTACACCAGACTGCGGGTGGGGATAGGAGTCGTGTTCCAGGCTAGATTGCCACTCGACAGACCAGAAAAGGCTATGGCCGGGACTTTACGGTCCTTGGTAGCAAACACGGCGGCCCCAACGGTACCAGAGAAATGGACCTGAATATAGACATTACTGCCAACATTGGGGCCTGAAACAGCAAGTTCAGGGGCCTCGCCGTTCCAGAAAGGAGGGGCGATGGCGTCAATGCCGTAACGCATCGAGGTAAGAGGAAACGAGTTCACCCAGTTGAGACGAGGTGAGGATTCATTGCGGCCGATGGGCTGGTTGGTGTTGGCCGGGCATGAGTTGTACTGGCAAGCAGTGGTACGGGGGCTGGGTTCCGCATCTGACGATGCTATCTCAGGGTGTTAGTAAACATGCATATGTGTATGGACCTGGGCAAGGAGCCGAAAAAAGACCCACCGGTGCCACTTTTGTTCTCCGCAGGTGCGGAAAGAACGGTGTCGTGACCTGCCGCGATGAGAACGTCATGAAAAGAACGCGTGTAGAGCTCTGCCCAGCCGTCGTCGTTGGCGTGGATGATGCGGATGGCCTCTGTGCGGAGGAATGGCAACAGAGCAAGGAGGACCTGGGAACGCATCTTGAATTTCACGACACTTGTTGAGCTGAGATTGATACTCCGGACAGGTGCCTTCTTCTCGTTTTTTTTATTTGTACCATCCCATCATATCGTCGACCCCTTTTATAAAGAAACACTCAAGCAAAACTGAAATTGTCCATCTCAGTACTTCAAGTCGGCAATGGCCAATCATAACTCGCCGTGTCCTGCTTGCCACTAGCGCATGAAACCTGACGACCACAGCATGGTGGTATTTGTCTTTTGATTCGGCCGTCAGCGTTGCACGTGTCTCGCTCTCGATTGGATGGGGAAGGCCTTGAGAATTTGGGCAGGTGAGACCGCCCACGTTTTCTCACTGTGCCTCTTCAATCGCTGGCGCTTTGGATGTGCGAAGTAACAGAGCATTGATTCTGGTTGCGACCTTTGGCCCCCGGCCAGTGTTGCAATTTGGGAGTTTTGGGGGGGTTGTTAAACCCAAGCGAGGTTGAGACCTCGGTATAATGCCACCTCCCCTCACGTGCAGAGCTGAGTCTCAGCAGGTGATCTTGACCGCAGTTTCTCCAATTGCAGCCACAACTTGGAGCATATCAAGGTATAGAGCACGTTGCCATGATCCTTGATGGTTGCTGTGGATTTGGGCTTTGAGTTTCAGCTATTAAACTGGAGTAGGTTCTTTTGGAACGTCGCACTCTAGACGAAATCTAGAGCATGGTCTCGCCTCCTGACATAAGCCATCTCTCATCGCACCACTCGGGGTTCAGCGACTTGAGATTATCACACCGTACAATCATGATGTCAGTTTGGAAGACGCTGTGAGCTTCACCATCCTCAAGGGTAATCGTGATCGGCATCCCACTCGTTTCGCATTTCTCGGGCCGTCCCCTTGGCGCCTGTTCACCGTCATTTTTGGATGGGGCCCCGAAAATGCCAAACGCGGAGTTGGGGAGGATGAATGTCAGAAAGTCATTTTCGATGAACTGCCAGATGAGAAACGGGACTCCTTTGACCCAGGAAAGAGGATTTCCGGTGAGGACAGGGGAGTGTTGTGTTTGCTAAGGCTTGGGAATAAGGGGAGAACTGGGGGACGCGCAGATGGGTTGGCTCTCCAAATCCCGATTCTGTTTGTCTGTGGATTCTATTCTGTCGGACAGGAGTGTGTAAGTGACTGAGATGAGCCCAGAATGTGAAAAGAAGACACTAGAGGGTAAAGAACATGCAAAGAATGGCCGATTAAGCACCCAGAGGCAGCCAGACGGGATAACCCTCTAGTATTTATCACAAATTGGCTCGAGACCTTTGCGTCTGTCTCGAAGACCCAACTGGCGGACAATAATAAGTCCTTTAATAAATGGGATTGTCTCACTGGATGCACAAACAGGAATGGGTACTTGGTCTCCGCTCCACCGTCACACTGGCGGCACCGGAGACTGAAGATAGATAGGATACAGAGTAGAGTACAAGGATAAGTGGCTATAATGGCTCAACTTCTTGTCTGTCAGATAAAATGTTTTCCTTCTTGGAACTATCGAGGCCAACAGCACCAGACGAACCCCAGGCTTTCTCTACTTTGGGGGATATCATGACAGAGCCCGTGACGCACAGAGTATGATATCTTGATTTCCATCCTGGCTACATCATATCCACCTCCCCAATGGCACCTATTCGGTGGTGTCTTTCTTTCACAATTCGAGTAATACCAGGGGTTAATCGATTGGTGCCCCCAGACGGTATGTTGGCATTGGCCGCCGACCGAACATCAGTCCTCCGGATGAGGTGTCCAAGACAGTCCATATTCAAAGAGTAAGGTAACGTATCGTAGGGTATCACTTCAGTCTCATAAACATGCGACGTATGCAGCTCGCGATATGCACTCGGCGAAGCGAACCACTCAAGCCTCTCTTTGGCTGCGTTCTTCACTGTGTTGTTTGGACCCGACAGTTTGGGTACGCGCCGATGATGGCTTAATTTGGGATAGCTGTCCATTAAACAATCAACGGAGGAAGA